ATATGTGTGTGACTATATATAAACATATATATATATATAACACATATATATGATATATATAATGCACACATAACACATATATTATATATATTACACACATATAGCATATATGGTTATCACTATAACCAGCATGACATGGTAATACATAGAGTTCACTAGTAGTGGCACACATACCTTGGTGGTAATCAACAGTTCTCTAATTGGACTTAAGACCACTTAACAAGAGAAAAATCATGCCTGATACTGGAAACCTAGCCAACTACCGAGGGCTAATGAAGTCATGGAGGAGAACCTACAAGCAACCCTTCACTAAACCAGCATAGTTCCTAACTACGTAAGTTCCTTAGACTCACAGATAATCATAATGCTCTACCCCTGAGCTTACTCCTCATTGAGATTCTTTTTGCAACAGACAATGAGACCCTCACAGCACACCACAACCAATCAAAATGTACAGAGGATCCCAGTCCCAAATCTACAAAACAACTTCTGCATCTAAGGCTCAGGGATCATTGTGGAAGAGAGGCAGAAAGATTGCCAGAGCCAGAAGAGCAGGGAGTTTGCTGTGAGATTTTGTTTCCTAGTAATTTTAGAAGTTACACCCTTAAAGTCTCACCAACATGACTGGCTAATCGAGAGTGGAACAAGGACAGCAATAATAGACATGCTAAGGTGGATGGGGTAAAGCCCCTGGTGCCTGACTTTATTTTTAGTTTTACTTTTAATATGTGGGATGGCTAAAGTAGAACATCATAGTTTGTCCAACACCAAGACCATAAACCCACTTTGTTTGTTCATCCACTTAGAATCCACAAATGAGCCTCTTAGCATCCCTCTAACAGGCTCTTTAGTGCCCCATCAACTTCATGGCTAGTGCCCCTGTTCTCCATCATGCGCCAAGAAAAGCATCACCTTAGAGAGCAGGCAGCTTAAAGGAACCAGAGTCTCCTCCTTGTAATCATCATTCAGTTCACTGTTCTGACTTAAGTTATATTCTTTACAATTATTTACTTGCTTATTTATTCATTTGTGTGCATATGTGTGTGTACACACATATTTGTATGTATATGCATGTGTGTGTATGTCTCTCTGTGTGTATGTGTGTGTGAGACAGCATGCATGATGCATGTAGAAGCAAGAGAATAACTTGAAACAGTCTTCTTGGCCTAGCGCCTATTTTTATTATTTGGAACAAAGAAGAACTTTTCTTTAGGACTGGCCTTTAAACAATAGATAGGCATTCAGTTTCTCTGGGAGAAACATCCTAACTCTTCCTCGGAGCTTCTAGGCTTCTCAGTCTGTTTTCTAGGAGCTCTACACTGGACACACCTTAAGTTGTTAAATATACCTTGTTAGAGGTACATCACCAATAAAAGGCTTTAAATAAGCCCTGGTCTTAAGCTTTACGTCCTCTACTCAAGCTTCCGAGCCAACAGCATGCTTCTTATGACCAGAGAGCATCCTGATTCCAGGCCCAGGTCTCCCTCTAGAGGATATCATCATATTGTCTTCATTTAATTTCACCAAATCCAAGGAGCTCCAGGACATAGCAAACAGGGTCTTCAGGATGCAGGTGTGTCCTCTACTCCCTCTTGTGTTCTTATTGGAGGAAAAGTCACAGGGAATAAGTGAATTAGTTTGCCTGAGATTGGCTATAGACACACAGATGTTAGCATATGTTAACTTTGCTTTAGGTTACAGCCCATTACTGGACAGTGTTGCAACCTCAGGATTATGGAATAATTTGTGTTTGCAAACAGCAAGAAACGTGAGTTTTGAAAAACTTCAACTTCTGAACTGAAGAATTTTCAAAATCATTTTCCTCAATGGAAAGACAGCAGTCTCCAAGTGACCTGAATTCTGTAGTATTTGTAATAGAAAAATAAGTCAAGAATGTTTCAGTCTAGACAGAAAATGGCCATCTAAATATATGGACTGAGTCCTAGGCACCAGCAACTTGGTCTTTGTATGTTTGTATGCCCTCACTAGTAAGACTTTGGTCTTTTAAATGCTGGTGATGACATTGAAGTCCTGATAATTGTCAGATTATCAGCTAATTAAAAGGTTTTCCTCCAGAAGAGCATTTGTTTTATGTTAGAAGATAAAACCAAACCAACAACTCAGCTGGACGAGGATGGTCAGATTTGGCAAGATCCTGGTACCCATCTCATTACATAGTCTCTTTGATATTGTCTCTGCCTGGGAGAATGACCCTACCTGGACCTTACTGTCTTCAGGGCATGATGCTTCCTGAGCAAAGGCAGGACTCACAGCATTGGTTTAATAGCTGTCTAAAGCACCTTGACTGTGCTTATTCAATCTTCTTAATAAGGCAAGCACTCTCACCCCCATCCCAAGTGAGTCACAAGGCTCTGCACTTGTGGAAATGGAGTAGCTGTTGAGTTTGCCAGGGCCACACTGATAGTAACTACCCAATGATTAAATCCTAGTTTAGAATGACAGGACTTTGATGTGACTTAGGTCAAAGTCACATTACATCACTGGGAAAAGCTTTGTTTCATATAAGCCAAATTTGAAGGAACTCCTAGAGAGACTTCAGAAGAAGTGAGTTTGGGGTATCCAGCGCTCCTTGGGTAGGAAGCAATCTGCACTTCTCATTGCTAGTTTTGCTCTCTAGTCTCCACCTTTGTCTGTACTTCAGAGGCCTCATGCCTACTCTGGAATGGGACAAAATTCCCACATCCCCGCCATTCTAATATCCAGGGTCTGTAAATTTCACTCCTTTGTGTCTGTGTCATTAGTAAATCAAGTCTCCTGAAAGCTTACCCTTCATTACAGTTGCTGCATGCAATGGGTGAAATTATCTATAAATATGCCAGAGGTCATGGATGGCTACTCCAGTTTCCACTTAGGTAGTGTGATTTTCTTTTTTCCAAACACCTGTCTCGTTGAGGGTCAAATAGGAGCACCCACTTTCCTAGAGAAAGCTTTCGAATGTGTTCTCCAGGATTGGTAGCTTGGAGTTCTTCTAATAAAAATACCGCCCCCATTGTTTGTGTATACACTGTTCTGACTTGGAATCCAGTGGGAACAAAGTCCTTTTGGACATGTTCTAGGAAACTTGGTAGCCTTACAGTGACATCTTGCTGCGGTGCACTGTGGATTTGTTTGTTAATTATTAACACTGGACTTCTACCAAGAGAAGGCAGGTGTCTTATATGCTCGCTGCTGAGAACTAGCATTGGAAGCATGTCAAGGGACTTGAGCAGTCTGGAAAGCTGCCTGAGACCGGCTCATTGATGCTTATGGGGGAGGGATGGCTGGCTGGGGAATGGTCAGTATTTTGTTGTTTATTTCTGCTCAGAATTCCTGAAACAGAATGGGTGTTTCCAACCATGTCACTGCTCTCTGGCACATCAAAGATCTGGGTGGAAAGATACTTCAGATACCACAGGGCTCAAAACACATATCTCTGTAACAATGGGCTGTCTTGGATGGCAGCAGACTCCATCTGAAATATATCCAGCATTACTGAAGAGCACACTGTTAGTGTGAAACTGATCCTGGATTTCAAAGGCTTAGTGTGAGAAAGGGAATGGTAACTTACTCATTTATACTATCACAGATAAATCTGGATGAGATTTGAATGAACAAAATAGTTAAGAGCTGGGGAGACAGCTTCATCTGTAATGTATCTGCTGCACAAAGCAAGGGGACCTGAGTTCTGCATCTGCAGCATTCAACTATAAACCCAGGTTAGAGGCACATGCCTTTGATCCCTTCTGTAGTATTTGTAATAGAAAAGTAAGTCAAGAATATTGCTGGGGACTTGATTAGGTAGTCTTGGCAAATTGGTCCAGGTTCAGTGAGAGACCTTGTTTCAAAAAAAAAAAATCTGGGGAACAAATAACTTATCCTCAAAGTAAGCTATAATATGCTTCTGACACCAAACCATTTAACTGGGACATAAAAGCCAGATCACCCTGGAAGGGTGACTTAGTCACTCAGAGGAGGCATTAATATCTTGCTAAGACCTCAGTTTACCCAGAGGAAGCAACTTTTCTCTTAGATGTTGAGAGGTGCTGATGCTGATCCGGGATCTTTTACTTTGATGCACCTGGCTCTCTAAGCCAAAGATAAGACAGGGAGGGCAGGAGGAGGATGCTCAGCCAGGAGAAGCCAATCACTGCAGAACATCCCGTTAGCTCCCACCCAACCTGTGCTACCATATCCCTGCATTCGATTCCACATCAGATCTTTTAAATTCCTGGTATCAGATCCTAAAACAATTCTTACATAATAATATCTTTCATCCATTGTATGGGAGTTTCCCTTGGAAACAAGCACTGCATGGAATAAGTATTCTTGCCTATCTATCTGTACCCTCTGATGAACCTGTCCACTCATAACAATCAAATTCTTGCTTCTACTCAGCTTGAAGCTAGTTAGAAAGAGGGAACCTATGGAGGGAGGCATGCAGTCAGAACTGCAGGAAGGTAAATGAAGGTAGCAGGAAATGTGTCTGACATGTAAGGTTCTGACTTTTTACTCGGCAACTGGAAGCCATTGGCAAAAGTAGCTTGCACAAGTCTGAAACAGGTATAAGACTATGTACTTCAGAAGATTCTCAGGAGGAACAAATGTAGGATTCTGACACCAAGGGCCCTTGAGAATTGGTTCGCGGTGAGCATGAAGATATTCAAGTTTTAGGCACCTTGCCTTTAATAGATTAGTTTCATGACAATAACTAAATCTCTCAATTCAGCCTTAGTTTTTTCAACCACAAAACTGGGCTAGATTTCTAAGAACCATTTCACTCAGAAAGGTCCATGATTTCTATCCCTCCAAGCATCTCAGAAAATGAAGAAAGACATTGAGTCCAGAAAATTTTAGCTACTTTTCCAAGGTCATACTGCTTTAGGACAATAGATTCAGGGCATTCTTGCCTTCCAGAGCAGTATTTTCCAGCTCAAATCTGAAGTCTCCCTGTGCATCAGTGAAAGTAGATAGAGGAATTCCAGAGGAAGAGAACTCCATACCTTGAGAGGCCTTAGAGATCAGGGAGTCCAGACTTCTGAAAAGAGCAGTCAATGCCTAGGGAGCTCCATCAGAGCCCCTCTCTGAATGATGACTCTTGTAGGTTTCCAAAGAATTCAGCTCAGCTTGACTTTGCCCCTTGAGTCAGCTTCCCGCTTTGTCAGGCAGGTGTTCTTATTGTCTTGGCACCGTAGTCCCCTGGAACAGCACACACAGCTGCTAGGGACTATGCCACAAAAGTGTCCAGGTGCAGCTCTTGCTATCTTCAGCAGCTTTGCCCTCTGATATTCCTTATTCCTAGAACTCATTTTAGCCCACCAGATTTGTTTAACCATCTGCACAAAAAATCAACATACCTTATTTAGTTTTACAAAGGCTGATTCTGATGTGATCTGGGGTGAGTAAACACTTTGATTCACGTCAGCTACTCCCCTGGGCAGCATGTGTTCATCCTATCCAGGACACATTGAAGTGACACTCTAAGACTCAATATGATGGTCCTATCCAGGCCCATATGAACAAGGCTCAAATGACGAATGATTGGTTCTCTGGGTGCCTCGGGAGGACATAACATATTCATTTCCTATGCTTTGACCCAGCTCACCCAAACTACAAGCTCTCAGTGATAACTGAAAAATCAATTGTATCTCAACATACTTTCTTATCCTGGCCCCCACATTCATAAAAGAAACTTTACTAAAGCTCAAAACACACATTGAATCTCACACAATAATAGTGGGAGATTTCAACACCCCATTCTCACTAATGGACAGGTCATTGAAACAGAAACTAAACAGAGACACAGTAAAACTAATGGAGGTTATGAACCAAATGGATTTAATAGATATAGACAGAACATTTCACCCTACAACAAAAGAATATACCTTCTTCTCAGCACCTCATGGTATCATCTCCAAAATTGACCCTATAATCACTCCCAAAACAAGCCTCAACTTATAAGAAAATTGAAAGCCTATATTCAACAAAACTAGAAAATCTAGATGAAATGAATGATTTTCTAGACAGATACCATGTTCCAAAGTTAAGTCAAGAGCAGGTAAATTATCTAAACAGGCCCATAGCCCCTGAAGAATAGAAGTCACTAAAAGTCTCTAAACAAACAAACAAACAAACAAACAAACAAAAATGCCCAGAGACAGATGGCTTTAGTGCAGAATTCTGCCAGACCTTCAAAGAAGAGCTAATACCAACACTCCTCAAATTATTCCATAAAATAGAACCCGAAGGAACACTACCTAATTCATTCTATGAAGCCACAATTACCCTGATACCTACACCACACAAGGAGCCAACAAAAAAGGGAACTTCAGACCAATTTCTTTTATGAATCAATGCAAAAATACTCAATAAAATTCTCATAAACCGAATCCAAGAAGACATCAAAACCATCATTCACCATGATTAAGTAAGCTTCCTCCCAGGAATGCAAGGTTGGTTCAATATATGAAAATCCATTAACATAATCCACTATATAAACAAACAAACTCAGAGAAAAAAATCACATGATCATCTCATTAGATGCTGAAAAAACATTTGACAAAATACATCTCCCCTTCATGTTAAAAGTATTGGAGAGATCAGGAATTCAAGGCCCATACCTAAACATAATAAAAGCAATATACAGCAAACCAACAGTCAAAATCAAATTAAATGGAGAGATAGTTGAAACAGTCCCACTAAAATCTGGGACGAGTCAAGGATGCCCACTCTCCCCATATCTATTCAATATAGTACTTGAAGTTCTAGCTAGAGCAGTAAGGAAACAAAAAGAGATCAAGGAGATACAAATTGTCAAAGAAGAAGCCAAGGCATCGCTATTTGTAGATGATATGATAGTATACATAAGCAACCTCAAAAATTCTACCAGAGCACTTCTACAGCTGATAAACAACCTCAGCAAAGTGGCTGGATATAAAATTAACTCAAACAAATCAGTAGCCTTCCTTTGTACAAATGATAAATGGACTGAGAAAGAAACTAGGGAAACAGAACTCTTCACAATAGTCACAAATAATATAAAATATCTTGGGGTAACTCAAACCCAACAAGTGTATGACAAGAACTTTAAGTCTCTCTAGAAAAATTGAAGAAGACCTCAGAAAATGGAGAAAACTTCAAGGTTTTTTTTTAAATAGAAGATAATTTATTTAATTTCAAAATCATATTAGGTGGTATTTGGACTGAATTGCATCTGTCAATGTACAACAAATTCTTATGTTGAAATCTGAACACTTGACATCTCAGAATTGGATGTTACTTGGAAATAAGGTCATCGAAGATGGAAGAAGATGAGAGGAGCACATTATGATGGGCTTTGCTTCAATCTAACTTATTAAAACAGGATAGCTAGGTCTAGACATATGGGCTCTTACTGACAAAGATGCACCTCCCCCCACACAGAGAGATCAAGAGAAAGATACAGAGCCAGAGATAAATAGAAACAGAGACATAGAGACAGAGAGACAGGGAGAGAAAGACAGCAACAGACAGAGACAAAAAACACACACAGAGGGACAGAGAGAGACAGAGAGCAGGAGAGAGAGATAGAGCCAGAGATAGACAGAATCAGAGAGCTAGAGACAGAAGAGACAGGGAGAGACAGAGACAGGCGGAGACAAAAATATGCACAGTGAGACAGAGAGCAAGAGAGAGATAAAGAGCCAGAGATAGACAGAAACAGAGAAATAGAGACAGAAGAGACAGGGAGAAAGAGAGAGAGGCAGAGATACAGAGAGAGCAGAAAGAAAGACAGAACAACAGACAGACAGACAGATACACACACAGAGGTAGAGAGACAGATAGACACACACACACACACAGAGAGGCAGAGAGTGAGAAAGACAGAAGGAGGGAGGGAGGGAGAGAGAGAGAGAGAGAGAGAGAGAATCATGTCAGCATAAAAAAAGAGGCAAGGGTTATCTTTCTATAGGCTAAGGAATGCAATGGATTCCTACTAGGAGCAAAGAGAAAGACATGGAACAGATTCTTCCTCACAGATCTCAGAAGAGAGCCAATCTTGCTACCTTGATTACCTTGATTTCTGTTTCCTGGCCTCCCAACTGCAACATCTTACTGTCATTTGCGATCCCCCAGTTTGCTAGGCTTGGCTATGGCAGCCCCAGCAAACTATTAGAGATAATGATATTTTTAAACTAAGTCACAGCAATGGCGTGCTGCCCCTCATGCCTCACACTAACAAGTGTCAAGCAATTTTCTCTAACATATTGCTTCTTTAAAGACAGCATTTAAAAGTAATTCTACTTTGGCTTGAACAGTCTTGGGTTTGAAATGAAACCTAACTGACAACACTGCAGTGCGAGGTAAACACACAAAAAGAGTTTCTCTGGTAGTTATTCTCTTTCTCTGTGCTAGGGAAGGCATCAAGGCAATTGCATGTCTGCCCATAATCAAAGAGAAAATGTCTCTTCACAGCAGAGGCAGTGAAGAAATGCCAGGTAGCTGGGTCCTAGTGATTGACAAATGCTGAAGGAGGCTGGCCCTTATCAGTAAGGAATATTTACATGATAGTGTTGTTGATGTAAAATAAAGCCATGATAGTCGCTGATACCACAGAAATGATGTGATTAATGAGTGAACTCTTTCAAGAAAGTCTTTCTCACCCATCATCAGGAACCCTGAGGTGACAGGTGTAGACAGAGACTTCCTAGGAACAGTTTCCAAGCCAGTTCATTTCAACAGCCTCCCACGTGTTTTCCACGACATCTGTCTTGTCTCTTTTAAACTATTCTTCACATTCCATCTAGACCTTTCCTTCTGCAAATGCAAATCTCCTTCCATGCCTCTTCTATCTGCAAATGTTCTGATGGTTTTCCTTAGTCTCGATCTTCTTGCATGGCTTAAGTCCATTCAGAGGGCTGGTCCTGCCTCTGCTCCAAGTCTCACTTCTCCTTGCGACAAACATCACAATTTCCTTTGTTTGACCTGCAGTCTTCCAGCTACCACTGTGTTTCCTCTGTGTCTCTGTTCTATGCTCTCTGGGGCTTCTCTTTCCATGATAATATTCTCCACAGACATCTTCCACTCAGTTTTGTCCTTAAGTTTGGTACTGAGGAGCACTATCATCTATCACTACATGGTCTCAGGTCACCATACTTTTTGTCACCGTTATAGACCCATGAGACAATCTCACCTACCAGCTCTTTGGGAACAAAGGCATTCACCTTTGTATTTCCAAGGCCTATCCTATTATACAATTGGTGGTTGATTAACCTACATGGAGAGAACATATGGATGGTCAAAAGGCCCAGAGGGTAACTTTATAAATGCTAAGGACATTGTACTGCTTTCTGCCAAAGGGTCTGTCCTTTAATGTCTCTGAAAATGAAGGGCTCCTGTGGAAGAGATTATGTCCATCCTGTGACATTCTTTGCCTTGTGCTCTGCTTTTTACACCCTTTCCATAGCCCATGGGGGATCCTGGGCCTTACATTGATGTTTTTCATTCATTATATATACATAAGTGTGTCCTGTATCTGTAGTTGAGCAATATCAGGCAGGCTAGAGAGAAGGACATGAAATAAGGTCAGAAGAATGAGGTCTAGGAAGGGTTCTGAAAAGTCACAGAGAAAATGTAGATGGGGAGACTATGGAGAAGGTTTGTCTGGAGAATAAGTCACATTCCCAAGACACAGTACCTTGCTTTCTCTTCCTCTCCCCAACTACCAAATGCTGGAATTGGCCCTAGATTTTTCATGATTAATCTCTTCTAGACATAAAAAAGAATGGGAATGAGCAAGGAAGTAAGATGGGTGTTCTGTTTGGTTAGTTCCTTGGAAACAGAATCTTGTGATATAGCTGTACATTTCTCAAAGAAAAATTTGGAGTAAATTATATAGCACTATACACACAGAAAAAGAGGAAATGAAAGCGGGACACTAGTTGAGAAAAATTCCAGCAGGGGAAGAGAGAGATAACAGAGTAGCTTGAGTAAGATAGTGGTATGTTAATGTTGGTTCGTCGTTATAAATGTGTCACAAGAACGCCATGTGTAACACCAGAAGAAAGTCTCTGAGAGAGGAGAGTATTTGGAAGCTTTCTAAAGAAGACAAAGTTATTTTTAAAACAGACTATTGCAAAAAAAAAAAAAAAACACCAAAGTCTGTCAAAAAAGAGAAATAAGCATAGCTCACCCAGACTTCCCCTGGCACAGTTTGTAGT